AAAAAAAAAGGAGAACCCAGCTGCAGTTCTAAGCCAGAACCACAAAAAAGCAAGTAGAGAGCCCAGCAGCCTCTCAATAGACATAGAGAACCTCAAAAGTTCCCCCCATAGCTCTTAAGGGCCTCCAGTGAGGGTTTAAAAGGCTTTGAGGCAGGCCCTGCCCAGGGCTCCCAACAAGGCACAGCTGTGCCCCGGCAGCCCCAGCCCCACAGCACCTGCTTCGTTAGCACAGGCGGGCCTCGTTAGGGCCATCCTGGGATACTGACTACCTAGTTGGTTGCTTCTGCCCTCTCAGCTCTTGAAAATGATAGTTGGCTCTTTGCTTCTTGGGCAAGAGGTTCTTTGGATTTACATTGAGTTTTTTCATTTAATTAGAAAAAAAAATAAATGAACCAGTCGCTGAAGGGTCCAATCCTAAGATATGAAGGGACCATTTGGAATAATCAGTAGTGACCTTCAGACAGCGTAGGTGACGTTGTCCGACACAGTTGCATCACGTAGCTCCCTTCCTCACAATAAGTCTCGCTAAAACAGCAGACCCCGATCTCGCTCCGGGTTTGTGTGCCAAGTGACTGATCCAGTTTTGCTAGACAGCGCAGCCTAACAAAACCTGTGTAGCCTAAGAAAAGGCATCATTAGCTGAGTTTTGCTCCAGAAGCAAAGCAAACAAAGCAAGAGCTGAAAACAACCAAAAATGTATCAAGCTGACAAAAAGACATCGTGGGAAGTGGAAGACAATAGAAGCAATGATAACAGCATTGTCTCATGCTTTTGTTGCACGAGCAATTGCGGATGCACTGCGCAGTCAGAAGTATTTCAGGTTGCTGTGTATATGTCACCATCACTTCTTTACAAATATATAGATCCTCGCCCACAGAAGCTTTTTTTTTTTTTTTTTTTAAGTGCAACAATTCTAGATCAAATGGTTTCCATTTCAACGGCTCAAAGAAAATAGCGCAGTCCAGAAATAGTATTAACATCCATGACTGCTCTGGCGGGGATTACTGAAGCGCAGTCATTCTGGCATTTATCAGTATGCAATCTTCATTTCCATAGTCATCTGAATTGGTCTTACTCTGTCTTAACTCGGCCTGACACAGACTATTTGCAAAACTAAGTATAAAGCTGAGTAATCTTGGACAATAATTAAAACAGACACTTACAGAGATGCTAGAACTAAACAGCAAATGTTTTTTTGTTTTTTTTTTTTTAATAAGTTTATCTGGTATGAAACTGCTGTAACTAACTTCTTTTGAACATTTCCCTGTGGTTTTGTGCATTGTATCGCCAGTCACTGAATCTGAGGCTTTGGTATAAACATAAATTCTCCTCATTGAACGTTCACAGCTCCGGTGAAGATCAGTCCTGGGACATGCAAGGCGTTGTCCAGCAGGGAGCCTACCTGGAACAGCTGAAATAAAAACTTTTCATTTTCCTGCAATGCCAAAGCCATACACTGCAGAAAAAAAAACCTACACAATGTCAGAATGTACGTTTTCACTTGCCCATTCCCCTTGTCCTAGCAAACGGGCACATCTGTCAGACCAGAGGCTGCAGAATAAGGCGTGCAGCGGAGCGCCCCGGGGACCTGTGCGGATTTTGGTGCTTGCTGCCAGACTCCCCAATGTTGCAAAATGAGGCCTTTGGCCACATTGCAGTTGTAAATAAGTTGGAGCCGGGAGGAAAACACCAGAACTGCTCAATGTGCATATGCTGGGGTGTCAATTTTAGGAGAGTGGTGATGAGAAATACAACAAAAGGCAGGATCAGCCCTTCCAGGCAGCTCAGGTTATTTCCACATTGCAAAATACTTTAGGAAATGGGCAATTTTTCTACTAAAGCTTGGAAAAAAAAAAAAGGAAAAAAGAAAAAAGAAAAAAAAGACAGAGCCCACTGGTCACACGGCTTTGTGTCTTTCCTTGGCAATTCGGAAGCAGTTGCTGACTCAGTGGCTGGATTTTGTCTGGGAATTCACTGCATCTCCTCGGTGGCTTTCCCCTGTGCTCGCTCCCTCCGGCCACTTGTGTGTTGATATCCAAACCACGCAGCCCGTTTATGACCACCAGCGAAATCAGTCATCTCAAGTTTTCCTTAATAACAGAGTTTGTTTCTGTGGTTACGTGGACTTTTAAAAGAAATTATTGGCATTCAACTGAAGCAGTAGCTGCCTGAGTCTGGCTGTTACTGGGGCTACTACTGGCTCCTATGATATGGAAGTCATTTCTTTTTTAACTCTGCAACACACGTGTCCCAGGTTCAAGAAATCCCAGCACTCAGGACCCCATCAGAATGTGCTACTTTACAGACAGTTAACGACTTTTACCTTATACCTGTTAACTAATGTTAACATATGATTTTGTTTGCATCCACGAGCACATGTCTCATGCTGCTCTGCAGAGGCTGGGCTCGCACCTTGGGTGGAGAGAAAAGCCTGGGACCTGTTGCCCTGAGGACAACTTACTGCTGCTAATGGCAGAAGTGGCAGTCCGTCTCCTTCCTCCTCCCATTGCCTGCATCTTTACTCATTCAGTCCAGCACAAGATCCTGAGGTTGACAGGGGTCTTCTGACACTTTGCCTTAAGGAGGTGAGCACATCTGACTCTTGCAATGAAAATAGTTGCATGATACCTATGCCCAAATAAGGAGTAAAAATGTTTCAGAGTGGAAGTCCTGTATGCCCCGAGGAAATTTTCTCTCAGGAAGTTAAACCTTGATGTATTGGCACCAGGACTGACCACAAGCAGATAGATTCACAGAATCATAGAATGTCTTGGGTTGGAAGGGACCTCAGGGATCATCAAGCTACAAGCCATCTTCTGAATGCAGAGCCACCAACTTCCATAGCGGAGGTGCTCCAGCCCTCCGATCATCTTCGTGGCCCTCCTCTGAACCCTCTCCAGCAGCTCCCCGTCTTTCTTGTACGGGGGCCCCAGACCTGGACACAGTACTTCAGACGGGGCCTCGCTAGGGCAGAGAAGACAGGGACAATCACCATCCTGCCTTCTGGCAACCCCTCTTCTGGTGGAGCCCAGGATACCATTGGCCTTCCAAGCTGCAAGGGCACACTGCTGGCTCATGTTAAGTTTTTCATCCATCTTCTTTGTTGATTTTCCCCTGGAGCCTCAGAGCCTCACGACTCTGCATTTTCTTAAATACATTGCCCTCAAGAGCCTGTGGAACAGTTATCCGGTGGGAATTGCTTCTGAGTGGGCTGTTGATATTTAAGCCTGTGAAGGTTGAATGTTTTGGGCCTGGGAACACAGACTGCTTTTAAAGGCTGATAGTCCAAAGAAATATAATTGTGCTACATTTATTTTATGGCCGTAATGATGTATGGTTTCTGAATTTTTTTACTAATGCAGAATTTCTTTGCTGATGAAAGGGAAGATGTGGGAAATGCGCTACCTTAGACCAAGATCTTTCATACGATTAGATTTCCCTTCAAGTAAAACTCGGGAGTGATCATTAGAATAGCAGAGACTGATCTATTTTGAATAGCTTCTGTATACAGCATCTGTCTTTGTGACTGTTAATGCTCTTGGTACACAGGGTTAATGTAGTCCTAAAAGGATTATAGATCTGCAGGAGGGCCTATAATTAGTAAAATATTTGATGAGCCGGTACAGACCTTAAAACAAATTTTTCTCTGAAGCATGTGGAAGTATCACCACTTCCAGTACAGGAGAAAAGCAGAACTTCAGCTTCATGAGCAAAACATTTTGTTGACTGGCTGAATCGGCCTTATCTCCCGTAACTAACACAGAAGGCTGGAGAACGATAAAACTCCAGGGGAAAGGCTCCTTAAAACAAAAGAAAACAAAAAATTCTTTTCAGTAAGAGACTCAATAACTAGAAGTGATACTTGAAGAGAAGTCCATCCTGTATCGGTACGGAAGATGCAAAAGACTCTTTAGCAGCTGAGAACAGCAGTGTTCTCAGCTTTCACTCTCAGTTCTCTTTGGCCCTGGAACAGCAAAGACAGGTATGCCTTGCAGGAAGCAGGAAGGTGGGGTTCTGGCCAAAGTGCCGGAAGACTGTGACGTAAGGTCTTGTGGATCCTGGTAGGGGAAAAGCAAGGACACTATTGCTGAAGTCTGGAGAGTGTTTGTGGGCCAGATGAAGCGTCTACATATAAAAAGTTCATCTGGCCAGAGCAGTAGGATCCAAAAATTAGGTCTGTATACCAAAAAAAGGTGATTGTCCACAAAATGACCTCTGCCAGCGATGTAAATCTTGTGAGTGTGCTTCACTTTGTTCTCACTGTTGCTGCCTTGCCTTGTTTTGAGCTTTGAAAGCAGTTATATCCTTATGCTAATTCCCCAATAAAAAACAAATAAAAATGCCAATAAGAATAGGCAGAGCATGTCAGTGAAATCCTGACTAAATGTGAGTTTTTCTCCCAGCAATATTCATCTTGGGACTTATCTTAGAAATGCATTCTTTCCTTCTTTGATTTTATGTGTATATATGTGTGTGTGTGTGTGTAATTTAGTATGTTCAGCTCCTTGAAGTCAGTGGCGTGACAGTAATAAGCCTTTAAAATGAGGATGGGGACTTTGCAGTTGAGCTCAGGAAACTCTTACTGCTCCTAAGGGACTCTGAGGCAGTGATCTTGAGGGAGACTGACAAGCACGCGGATGAGCTGGGAGCTCTGGCAGAGCAGGTGGGGTGAGGAAATGTAGAAATAGACATAGAGGGATAAATGGGAGGGAGAGAGGAAGGAAAGTCAGTCATACCCTGGGATTTGGAGGTGGTGACAAGAAAACTATATTTGCTGTGACTGTAACTAGTAAGCTGCTGGGACATCTGTCATCCCTACTTTTCAGCTCTATGGAAAATACTGGTAGGGCTGCAAAGTCGTATTCCCTTTTCAAAATGAAATCATCAAATAGCTGTTTCAGGAAGGATCGTTGTCCACTGTAATTCCATGCATGATCTTTGCCTTTTGCCCTTGGTTTGTTAATTCACTCAGCTGTTTTGTGCACATTTATCAGACATGTAAGAGCCAGGCCAGCATTTCTCATCCTTATCAAGGATGATACTTTGAGCTCTAAAGAAGTGTACGTGGGCAAAAGGCTTGAGATTTGTACATTGTATTAGCTACTGTTTCTAAAGCGTTAAAATCAGTGGTGCTTTATGGCCCTGTTGTGAACAGGGAAATATAGACTTTCAACTGATGGAGACATTTACCTGCAATGAAATGAGTTATGAAACCACTAGCACGTTTCTTTATCACAGGACACTGTTGGGAAATTCATTAACAGTTAACCCCCGGTTAAGTGGCAGGTCAGGCAGACAAACCGAGGATTCAATGTAAAGGTCTGTTACCTCTTGCAACAACCTTAGGTACGACTGCTCAGCTGGAGTGCTAGCATAAATCAGCAAGGTCTTGTCAATATGCTTCCCCTGCTGCGATGTGGGAGAGACAGCATATTGTGGTCTCAGGAGATACAAGACTGGTCAGCAGTTGCTCCGATAAATACTACCAAAGCAAATGACTATTCTGTGTGAATAAGTACAAACTCCCTGTGCATCCACATTAAAATAACTAAGCAATCGGCAGTAAAATATGACTATGGCATGTAGGGAAAATAGTGGTTGTATTTCAAGTGTTCGTGGAAAGGATGCAGATTTACGATAATTCCTTACAGAAAGGCTGAATAAAAAAAGAGGCCAAATGTTTACAAGTAAATTATGTTGCTTGGGAAAAGTATTAGCAACTCATTAAAATACCAGAGAAAAAGTAGTCTGCTTTGCATCTTACCAGATCATGTCTAAAAGCATGCAGAGTTTGTGTTGCATTGAATCACTTGTGTTTTGGAGATGAAGGAAAGGCCTAAAAAGGTACAGCTCTAAAATTAAGAAGAAAGCTCAGCACCTTCCTAACAAATGGCTGCAAATGTTCAGCTTTTACCAAATCCTTTAATTACACAAGCTAGTCTACTAAACGCTGGCAGTCAGTGCTTTGATTCCAGTTAGATCTAGCAGTTGGCACACAGATAAAACTCCTGCTTTACTTGGAGAGTGTTTGTGCAGAAACAGCAAAGTCATTTAAAAGTTTTACCATTTGCCAGTCGCTTCCTTCTCTGGACATCTTCTTAGGATGAGTGGACCTTGTATGGTGGCGTTGCTGGGTAAGGAATTGCTTTTCTTTGTTAAATGTACTAGAACGGATTCTGCAGGTGGCCCAATTGCCTCTATGTGGCAAAGTACCTAATAAATTCCTAAGTATTTTGCCTAAATAAAGGCAGGAGAAAGGGGCCCGTAATGAGAGTTCCACCATTCAGGCAAAAACTCAATCCCTAGGTCGCTTGTATCCACACTGTCACTTGAAGGGTTAAATGTTAAGTCCCTCAGTGGCATCCAGAACTGTTTCAGAAAGACCAGGTTCCACCGCAGCCCAGCAGGGACCTGACTTTGAATTGCTGCTGATCAAATTGAGGCAATCTGTGATCCTTTCCTGCTTCTGCTGGGAAGTTCACAAGGCATGTCATGAAAGGTTATCAGTGTAACTGAACCGGGAGCTGTTGCAGGATGAAACCAGTCAATTTCAAGTAGAAGGACAAAAGGTCAGAGAACTGCAAACCCAATACGGCCACCAGCATCTCGAGTTACGAGGTTACGGTACAGGGGAAAGAGGGGGATGAGGCGTAGCCTAGTAAACACTCAGGCAACTCTCAAAAATAGAAAGTGACATGAATCCCAATGGCAGAAATATGAAGCTACTGTACAGTACATGTTCACCTGCCATTATCACTTACATACGCTGAGAGGGAGGTCAGATGGCTCCAAACTCCTCTCTGAAGCTGAGAGATATTTTTAAACAAATCTAATGCATTGAATTCAAATTAGCAGTAGTAGAGACTCTGGAGCTTGCGAGAGTATTTTGGAAAAGCTTCATTTTGGATAACCGTACTTTGTGGTCACTTGGGCTATATCAGTGTTGATCCAGCTGTATACAATCAAGTACAACTTAGTATGGAAATTAAAGCTTTCCATCTGATCCTATTTTTGGTTAAACTGCTGCATATTTCCCTTTCATCTGCAGTATGCCAGAAACCAACTCTTCAAGCAACTGCTTTCAGTCCCCATTCTGTGCTTTTAAGAAAACCTTTAAAGCGTAGTTCATTCCTAGTGAAAACTCCTCGGTATCTTTGATTCTTGTTTCTCTCATCTAGTACTGCATCAGCAACAATGTGCTGGAGACTGTTATTTGCTATGGTCGTAGATTGCAGGTGTGAGATTTATGCTGCTATTACAAGTTGTCTCGAAAACAAATAATGCAGGCGTAAATAGTAACACAGCAAGAATATAGGCTAGAAAGTCTCAGTTTGCATTTGACAAGAGAAGAGAAGTCAAATGAAGAAGGTATGATTAACTGTTAACTTGTGCAAGCCAGAACCTGAGTTGTCTCCAGCTATGCTTCTGAGTAAGCG